CTAAACAGTTAGCCTTAAAAAAAACCACCGTCTTGTATAAAAACCTGCAAGTCCTTATTCCACTTTGCCTGGTTAATGAAATTTGTGCAACTAATTTCATTTGCTGGCAGATTAAGTTTACTGTCTCTGAGATAAATATAAGATAAGAGACATTCCAGGTCATCTGAGTTAGTGGGCTCTTTGAATGAAAAAGTCAGACCTATACTAACAGTATGGACAATGCTAAAAGAAAATGTGCAGAAAATGTTATATGCCTATCGGATACGGCTTTAGAATGTTGGCAAATCTAAAATAAATAAATAAATACTTCCCCTCCCGAAACATTATTCCAAATCCTGACATTGTGTTTTCTGTTGGTTTATCTAAGCCTCTCTTAAACGTTCATCTATCTGCTAGCACGACAAGCGTCAGTACTTGGAACATTCAGATGATTTGTGTTATTTCAATTATACACTAATTAGTGGAAGCCCTACTATGCTCAATGACACACAAAGGGCAACAGAACGGTAACTGTAGCAATTATTCTCTGCTAAAAGAAGGTGCTGAAAGAAAAGTGCTTTTGTGAAAATAATTGCAGAATCTAGGGAGAAAAAAAAAAAAAAAAAAAAGAAAAATAAGTTGCTTGAGCTTACATGGCAGAGGCTTTCATTGTGGAGGAGATGGTAGAAGGTTCTCCATGCACAGAGCAGAAGCACAGAGCAAACCTGCAGCCCGTGGGGGAAGGATGGGGGAGATAGACAGCATTTGTGACCCTTCTATTCAATATCAAGGCCACATATGCACTAGGTTTTGTAGCCCAGAGGTGTGATTCACCCTTTATAGACATCTGCCTACCATCATGAGATGAACCATGCCCCTTGCGGCACTACTGGAAGATGTTGTGTTCCACTTGACTCTTACATCTGATTACTGATAATGTGTAATTACTCTAGGGAGTTCTATTATTTGTGGAACTGCCAAATACTGTTACTATGCAATTTATCCCACTGAATGATTTATGGATGAAAGGACTTAGTGTGAACAATAATGGCAGGATCTGGCTTTACCTAATGGTTCCTTAGCTATATTGAATGAGAAGTACAGTTTTTCCTCTTCCTCAGACAATCCTCCAAAATATCAAGCCACTCCAGTATTTGCTTTGGATTTACCCTGCACAACTTTGTTCATCCTTCTATTGCACCAGTCATTCAGAAGAGAACTTCTTCCATCACTAATGTCACATATATACAAGGAATTTCTTCTCATTCACTATTTTAATGTTTAGAGTTGGCAATAGGAATATGAATACAGCTTTCTGTTTTGATTTTCCTAGCATTGTCTCATTCTCCTTTATGCTGGCTTAGTTGTCTTCCTTAGAAGCCAAATACATTTTCAAAGAATCTTCGTAAAGAGGACAGTCCTTTATGCAAGACAGTGCACTGTCTCTGCCTGGGCATGTAGCTAGGCATATTAGCTATGTGCAACAGAAAGGACCCACCAGGACCAAAATCTCTGCAGAAATGTGTTCCTTTTTTATTAGGAAAGCCTTCTATAAGGCTTAATTATTGTGGACAAAAAAAAGTACAGTTTCCCAGGGAAATACTACCCACTGATATCACAAGAATTCAGCTCTGCTTAAGTGCTGGGAGGTATGTTCTCTGTGCACTTGTAATCGGGTCATTATCACCATGGTTATGAGTTTTTAACTGACTGAAAACTGTAGGCATTTTCCTCATTAATACCAAATGTTACGGCTTATTTCTGAGAACTGAAAGCCCTGCTGCCCAGGGAAACCTGTGCTGTGATAATTTTTGAAAACAATGCACTTGAGAATAGCCTGCTTGGTTTCTGTCAAATGGTTTTACACATATTTTGTTTACTGGTTCTTATGGGCTTTTAGTTGTTAAATAACTTTGGTCTGTTGTATTTTGCTTTGTGAGTTAGTGTTCTTCACAGACTATGGGTCTAGTTCTTATGAAACAAGTGATTACAGTGCTCTTTGTTCATCTGCAATCTCTTCTGGACTATGCTTGCATCTTAAAAAATTCTTTGCATTTACATTTTAACATGCCCTCTCCTGTTTTTGCATTATTTTTTATTATACGCCTTCAGACAAAACACTTCAACTGTGATCTTGAGTCTGAATATAGCCACACTTCTGTGTTTGGAAGATAATTAAAGAAGTGCCATTTCCTTTCCAGTGTTGCTTCTATTATTGCAGGTTTTTTTTCTATCACAGACAAAACATGAAAAATTGTCAATAATTTTATTAACAGCTGGATCAAGACAGAAGTATCACATTTGGGAGTAACTTTCTTAAGTTATTTTGTATGACTGGTCCTTAGAAAAAAAATATAATTAAAAGCAGCTTATGGATAAACTCTTTCCCATTCTGCTTCTGTGCATACCCACATACACCACATGCACCACACTCCCATAATCAAAACAACAGTTATCACTACCTGTGTCTTGCATCATCCAAGTGAAGAATAAACCTTCATGAACAAAATGGCACACCATAATTACACAGACACTAATCTTCTTTATATTGTAATGTCAAGAGCCGTAAGAATAAAAGAATGAATAAGAATTGTTTCTGTAGGTCTTCCATTTCATAAGGATTTATGAAGTTGGATTGCTTTATTGAAAGATGGTTGAAAATTATAATAGAATATATATAAAAAAATGGGTCTTTGTAGATAGAATTTCATGCATATATGCTGAGTAGAGTCTTTCAGAACTAGGACAAAATTCATAACAACCATCATCCCTTTTTTTCTGTCTTCTGGCTATTTATCTTGTTTAATGTACACGCCTGTCTTTATTGTTATATGAATTAATAAGGATTTCTTATGTGAGGTGGGTATGCAACAAAAAATAAGATTTTATAAAGGAATTTTAGATCACTTTTGGGAGAAGGAGAAAACTTGAGCATTATGGGTAAATTGTCATTCTGCCCATTTCCCAGCCAAATCTGATAGCCATGCAAGAATCTTTACACTGATTCTGGATGATTAAGCAAAAAACAAGGTAAATCTGGCCCCGGTATAAATACTGAAAACTGCCAAATGTGTGCAGGGAAGAGAGATCCTGACTTGATCTCATTTCCTTGCACTGTTGGCACTCTGCTAAGAGATTTGGCTGAAGCCAGTTCTGTGTGTTCTCTCTACAGGCTGCTGGCATTGCAGAAGATCTCATTTTCCATTGCCAGGAACACTTGTTCAAAGTGACAGAAAGGTGCAAGTGAATAGCCCAAGATTTCACATTACTTTGTGAAAATGTTAGGACTTGGAAAATACAAAACAGTGTGAAGATATGATCCTGTTGCAGCCATTCACATGTGCTGGTGTAAGAGCACCAGGTGATCCTAAGCAACATGAACTTTCATGGATTATTTCAGCAAATCTCCATATTGCTTTCAAATGAGATTATTGAAATGGAAGGATTCCTTCTGTTCATAAGCATTATTGCTAGATGTCTACTGCTTGGTGGAGGTTCATATTTTTGAAAGGAGCTCTTTGACCTTAAAACTTAGGCTTATTCTCCAGGAGATTTGGCATAGAATATAATACTCAAAGTAACAGATGACAGAATCACCTTGTCAGAGACAAATCAACAAATAGAGGTAAATGCCAAAGACATCTAGGATGGCAAAGCAAAGAGAGCAAGGAAGTTCCAACAAAGTAGCTGGGAGCAGCTTGTTGAGGTGGATGATGGAGGAATTGGTTGTATTTTGGCAGTAAGGGAAAGTGGGAAGATATCCCATGGCCAACATTTTCTGCTACAGCTCTGCTTGTTTCATTTTTACTATCCTTTCTGCTTGGACTCGATACTAAGGAGAAAGAATCAAAAGCCATGAGTTTTCAACACCGTTCAATCCACTTAAAAAAAAAAAAGAATAATAGTGAGATTGTGGTGTACCCACTTGTCTTCAGGATTTAGGATTTTATTTTTCTACTTATACAGGCTAAAATAATCATTGAGATACTGCCTTGCTGCCAGCCAGCCCTCTGGGCATCACAGCAGTGCTTCAAAGGTGGCAGCACCTCATTGCTGAGAAACTGAATTAGGCCCCTGTTCTTTTTTTCTTTTTTTTTTTTCTTTTTTTTTTCCTTTTTTTTTCTTTTTTTTTATTTAGGGTAGCATTTAAAAATAAACCTGCTTTTGTAATTGTTTCATAGACAGTCTACAAGTCTACAAGAACCATCTACATAATCCATAAATTATGTGGACCACTTATCTTTATTATTGTTGATGCTATTATTCTTAATAATATATTTACTTTTTTAACAAACTACTTGTGTTAACAAGCACAATCCTCAGCTGTTAAAATAATGTTCTATTTGTGGCAGTTATTGCTGTATTTCGATCCTATGGTTACACCCCTGATCACAACAGGCAGGATGTGACCTAACCTTATGTTAGACCTTTCCTAGATGGAAAATGTTGCACCTCATCAAAAGTTTTTACTTCTAAATCTTGCTTTGCTACACAGAAAAATTCCATTTTTTACCATGATTTCAACAAGGAATTGCCATGCCCAACTGCGGCGGTACCAGATCTGCAGTTTGGTGGCCCTGCCTGTGGCAAGGGAGCTGGAACTTGATGATCCCTGGGGTCTCTTCCAACACAAGGCATTCTGTGATTCTATGATTCCATGATTCCATGATTCTGTGTGCACAATTTTCATCAGTGAAAATCTTAATCTGCATTTTTATAAACTGTATTTGTTAAATTCATTTTGATTTCCACAGTACGAAGAAATAAATCATCATTACATGTTTATTAGCTAAAATATTGGTAGTGGTGCCCTGCTATCAAAATTGCACTCTCCAAAGTTTGTTGTACTGGTGAAACATTTGCAGTCTTACTTTTCTTGTATAAAATAATCTATTTCATCTTAATTAAGTCTGAAATATACAGACAGTTGAATTAAAGGGAAATTTTATGAAACAAGCTTCTGAACTCTTCAGACTGTTTTGAATAACACAGCAAATGCTTTTCCATTCCCTTACCATCAGGTAACAGAAACGCGGACTGGTCCTCTTGGCTGCAGTAACTATGACAACCTAGATTCTGTCAGTTCTGTTCTGGTTCAGAGTCCTGAAAATAAGATTCAGTTGCAAGGTATGTAGGTGTAATTTCATTAATTTGTTTTGGAACAGGATGACATTCATCACGCTATTTGTTTTTCTTTTTTTCCTCCTCATAAAAGGTCATTATCTTTTCTTTGTGTATGTGTGTGTGTGTGCAATAGCTACATTTTAGGCAAAGTGAAGGAAATGTCAATAACTCATGTTGCCTTTCAAATTGAAAAAATTTCTTTACCCATCAGAAAATAATCTGAATAATGCTGTTAACATTTTGCATCTCTACTTAGCAATGACTTGCTCACCTTTCACAAAGCCCAAATTCCAATAAGTTCTACCAAGCAAGGAATGATATTTCCTGTGCTTAGCCTGCTTTGCACATTTTGAGTAGTAACCCATTGTCCCACTGGAATGAACAGATTCACCAGAGGAACAGGGCATAGATTTGCAAAGTCCTTGAGTAATGCAAAGTGCAAAGGCTCATTTGGGATTTATAAGAAAACCTGTAAGGTTAGATATCTCACTCATTAGAAAAACGTGTAAAGTGGTATCACTTCTGATTCATTTTTAATAAATTGCAGTAAGTGTATATCTGCATGTTAGGCACCTAAACATTGTTGAAAGTGAGCCTCTAGTAATTGTCTTAATTTTTTACTGAATATACTGTCTTAAAGTTTGTTCATTTTCAGTTAAACAAATTCAATGCGGACAACTTTCAATTACTGCTGTGAAAACAGACTAAATTCTCTATGATTTATATGTTTATGCCTAACTGTACATTCAAGGACAGAAGAGTATGGGTCTTAATTAAACAGTTATTTCAAGCTGTAAAAGTTACTGATATTGCTTTATACATGAGTTGGACATATAGAGTGAAGTTGTTGCTGATTATTAAGATTGGCTGCTAGAGAAAAATTACTTGTTTAGTACATCCATGTTTTGTTTTTTTTTTTGCCTTTCCTCTCTCTTTCCATTAGGTGGGAAGGGTGCAAAAGGCATGATTTCATTGAAAATATAATTATTTTTCAAAAGAACTTGTCATTTTCACTGCAGTGCAGTGAATAGAATGTATCCATAAATCATTCACTGTTTTTAAAGGTCTCTAGAATTTGCACGATGTTTGTCAGTTAAAATTTGGAAATTAATCTTTGCTTTAGTCAGAGAGCCGTTTGACACATGCCATTACATTGTCATGAGAAATGTAGTAACACAACTGCTACAACTATTTCATGCTTATCATATAGAAATTGAACAAGACAGGGCTGCTTATTTGGGCTTTCTTTTTCTATCAGAATTCTAAGTTTTTTTCAAAAATACATTTGTGCATTGAGGAAGTATACTATGGTAGCAAGAGTTTTACACGTTTTGATATAAGGCAGAGAAAGGTACAAACAGACCAGCTTTTAATAATATTGTCATGCATCTATAATATGGCTTTCTACCTGGAAAGATTATAAAATTACTGTTACAGATATATTTTTATTTACCTAATATTTAGGAATAAATCTCTATGAAATTGTTCAAGTGCTTGTGTAAGAGAAACGTGTCTCACAAACTACCAATATACTGAGAAATAAGCTTCACTTTTTCCAGAGAGATTCTATTTGCTTCAGAGTAATCACAACTGACAAATCAAAATTTACAGTGTACTTCACTGGTTGGTTTTGTTCATGGTTTTTGTTTTTTTTTTTTGTTTTGTTTCGTTTTTTTCCTATCAGTTGATTGTTGTAGCCAAAGAACTAATAGTTACAGGTAACTAACAAAGTTTCTATATAAAATTACAAATTCCCATCATTGAAATCATATAAAGAATGGTCAATTGTTTTCAGATTAATAAAGTTCTGGTCAAAAATATTCTAAATTTTTTATTCTGATACCTCAGTACAACATATGTTTTTGCAAGACCTCTACATTTCATGGCATGGTAAAGTGTGAAAACGCTTTGCAAGGGGATTTGAGACACAGCAGAAGAATTTTAATCAACAAACATCCTTCCCTTCTCTATGCTAAACCTTTCGTAGAAATGAATTCTTTGAATGAATGAATTCTTTTTCTCAGGATTTTATATACTTACCCAGAATATCCAGCAGACTGTCTCATAGTAATTTGAAATCCCTTAGGAGAGGAGGCATCTATTTGAAAACATCTGCTTTTAGCTGGTTCTGATGCATGCTGAAGTCAGAGAACTTTCTGTAGGTGATTGATCAGGTCCCATCCTGCAGGGTCTGCTTGAGGTACTGGCAGATGAAAGAGGAGTAAACCACTTTATAAATCCATACACTCAAAAAATCAATAGCAAAACTGTTCTTTATTTAATTTTGCACAAAATGACATAGTTTCACTTCATATGGAATCATTGCACACATTTTTCTAAAACACTTGGTAAAAAGGCTGTTGTATGTCAATATTTAGAAATGAAATATATGGCTAATTTTATTTTCCTAAAATTCCTTCTAGCTCAATTTACCAATTCTTCTTAGCCTGGGTCTACAGAAGCATGGAGAAATAACTAGAGTAATTTGAACATATCTGTATTTCAGGTGTATCTACTTGTGTCAAAGCCAACATGGAAAATAAGTCCAATGTTTACCTCCAGATCTTTTTTCTGCTTGTACAGCTTCCTTACTTCCACTGTTGCTGTCTTCAAATCAGATTTCCCTTTAACACTCTCAAAATTTATGTTAGCTTCTAGTATAAGGACTGTGATTTATCTGCAGGTTTCCATAGTGAAAACTTCTTACAGCTAAGGCTCTTCATTCAGTCTCCTATCAGGGAGAAGTTGATGTAATCCACTATTTCTGCTTTTGACAATTCCCCCACAAAGAAATACACTAGTATATGATCTGAGGAATACAGGTTAGTGGCTATTGGAATGAATGTTCCACACTAAGACAGAAGTGTAAGATAAATAACGGGTGCTCCAAAAGTAATGCCTCCTGTATTATTATGTTGGTCCACAGTGTCAGAGGCTAATGTTGGTAGTATAGCAGTAGAGGCTGAACCTTTCCACCAACATTCTGTTATATTTTGTGGCTGTGAAACAGGTGGTAGCAGAGGAGTCTGACAGGAGTCAGACATGGAAATGCATAGGAAGTACAAGTGTAGAACTGAATTTCTCATGCAGAAAAAATGGCATCTATTGACTTTTACTGAGTGTTGATGGAGACCAAACGGTGAATGTGAGCACAATGAGGGGTGGGTGTTGTGGTTCAGCAATGGTGACAGCAACGTGAAAGATCAGCCATGCTCTGAGCAGTAAAGCGCAACTGTCACACCACAAAATGGAGAGCATCTCAATCAACTCATCTGCATAACTTGGTGAATTATGTCCAAAAAACTTTGTACAAAGGTGAAGATTGGTTTCAGTACATTGGAAACCATGGTGCAGCATTGAAATATCACAAAGTTTGCACCAGTTGGGTCCCAGAACAGAAAGAATGCCGTATGCAAGTTTGTCAGGACTTATTGAACCAATATGAGGCAGAAGGTGACATATTCCTCAATTGCATCATTAGCAGTGATGAGACCTAGTATCACCATTATTAGCTGAAGTTAAAATGATACTTCATGGAGTGGTACATGTGAATTCCCCATTCAATTTAAAGTTCAAGACACAGCTCTCAGTGGGAATTGATGTGCACTGTCTTTTGAGATAGGAAAGTGATCATTCTGGATTCATCAGAAACCAGGGAAATCATTAACTCCGACTGCTACATTCTGACACTGACTAAGCTGAAAGCTGATACTTCGAAGGTGAGGCCAGAGAAAAAGACTTCCTTTCTCTTGCAACATGATACATGCAGGCCTTGTTTGAAGACTGGAGCACACTGCCAATCTTGTCTGGAATGTCCAACCACACCCACTGTATAGTCTGAATTTCACACCTTCTTAATTCTGTCTGTTCAGGCTAATGGAAGGTAGGCTGCCTGGGCAACTGGTAGCAGCTGTGAAACAGTGAATCACATCCACTAGTACAGATGCTACATTTTTTGTGAATGTAGCATGCAGGCTCTTGTTCATTGCTGGTGAAAATGAATTGCTAATGGTGGTGACTGCTCAAAAAGTGTTTCATAGCTGAGAATTTGCTCTATCAAATAGTGTTATTGTGCTTTTTGTAGCTGTTGTAGTTTCCATGGAAATAAAGGAGGCATTACTTTCAGAGCAACTTATGTATATATTAAATTAAAGTAAATTCATGACATAGCGCAAATGCCAGAAAGACATGTAAATTTTCCTGTATTTTTTCTTTTTGTAACTTATTTAACTTAATTTTATTTTTTAACCATCTTATATAGCTATGGGAATCTGCTTGGCTTGAGTACTCTTTTGAGTTTAATAACATAATACTTATTCTATTTCCTTAAGGTCTTCAGGTCATCCTGCCTGAGTACCTGCAAGAACATTTTGTCCAGGCAGCTCTGAGCTATATTGCCTGCAATTCAGAGGGAGAGTTCATCTGCAAGGACAATGATTGCTGGTGTCAGTGTGGTCCCAAATTCCCCCAGTGCAATTGTCCCTACATGGACATTCAAGCCATGGAAGAGAACCTGGTCCGCATAAGTGAAACTTGGAATGCATATAACAGTGAATTTGAAGAATCTGGTGAGATGTTCTATAAGATTTTGTCTGTTTGACTGTATCTTATAAAACCTATTTATACAACAGACTGCATCTGAAAGTCTCCAGAATGGTTAATAGATATAAAGCTAAACACATACTTAAATACATCCCGGACATCAGTCTTAATTATTAAAACATTCTGATAAGAATTGTTATCCTCACCTCATGATGACCCATCTGGGTAAGTACATCAGAGTCTAAGCAGGCTGTGCTTAAAATTCATGTGGTTTATTTTGTGGAATCCAGGGCTATGAGGATTCGCTCCCTTTTGGAGAGAGAATTCTGCTATAGGAGTCAAAAAGCAGGACAAACCAGAAACAAAGTCAGGCTGCATATTGTTTGAAAAAGTATTCTGAATTTTTAGCTTGTCATGCGGCTGAAGCAACTACTTCATTTCACATCCATTCCTCTGTTCTGGGTCAGTGTTTCTGTTGTACTTCCTTTTCATCCCATCCCTCCAGAGATGCTGTGAACCTGATATGTTGGGCACAGCCTGCTCTTGATTTACCAACGAGTTAATAGCTCAACCCACTGTAGCTGGTAACTTGTTTCTTTATATGATTTCTGCTTCAACTGGGCCTATCCATGTTGCCTGTACAGCACTTCTGTACCACATCAGTTTTCTCTAAACCACTGTGATTTGTTTCACGCATCATTTCACCTGTCCCGATCATCAGAACTTTCTGTTCCATAGGGATCCTCAGGTAAAATCAGCTTCTGAACAACTGTTTTCATTCAGTAATATCAGTAACAGCTGTCTAACCAGATGGTGGGAAAAGTAAGGAGAGCTCAGCAGACATTGGAAAAATAGTGAAGAAAAAAGAGAAATGAGTGAGAAAGAGAAGAAGTATAGAAAAAGCAGAAAATGCTATTTAAATTAAGTTGTATGGAAAATAGAGAATGAGTAAATGGTAGAGAGGGGGAAATGACCTCTCTGATCATGGGAAGAATACAGGTGAAATATCCGTGCAATACTTAACTGTGAACAATGCATTATCAATGTACATTCATTTATTTACATTTGTAGTGCTGTTAGAGATTAATTTCTTAATTCAAGAATTTCAAAAGTCCCTATATCTGTTAAGTTTTACAGTTACTTTAACTTCTATTGAAAGTGCTTTTGAAGATCTCAGGTCCTTTTCCAACTCTCAATCTTACTCTCATATGACACTATGAAGATACCAGAATTTTCTCCTGGGACAATATTTCTGCTTGGAGGATCACACATTTCGCTGATTATAAAAGAATTAAATTATATTTCACTTCTGTGAATATTAACCCAACATTTTTTCAATGACTATTCTAACACCTTCATGCGTGTATGGAGTAATACTATCATTTACTGCTTTGCAAACTGAGAGGGAAGTGTTTTCTATGAATTAGAGTCAGATTAAGTGCAGGGTAATCCAGTGCACTAACTACTGACCCACATAACCTACTACAAAGTGCTGTGAAATGAATGACCTCCATGCACTGAATCTTATGACCTCCAGATTGACAAAAAATTAAACACACAAGTGTATTCATTTTCTAATCATCCTGCCATCCTAATCCTTCCTTATTTTAAATACAGCAAAATAGTTATTTGAATATAGAGAAAAATTTTGTCCCCATATAAAAAGCTATAAAACTCACTGAGTTCACTTGTGAACTTGCACATTATCTGTCCACAGAATTTAGCCTGAAGAGGAAGTAAATATTCCATTTAAAATAGCTTATTTATAGTCAGTGTTATCTTTCCTTCCGTCTGTTCAAGATAAAACAACAATAGGAACAGATTTTTAGAAGTGAGAAATGGTAGCTTTTTAATACCTAAATCCCATTTAAAATTAAGACATGACTACATTTAGTCTGTGTTTGAAACTCTCCACTTCAACTGAAAGAAGGAAGGAAGGAAGGAAGGAGGGAAGGAGGGAAGGAGGGAAGGAGGGAAGGAGGGAAGGAGGGAAGGAGGGAAGGAGGGAAGGAAGGAAGGAAGGAAGGAAGGAGGGAAGGAAGGAAGGAAGGAAGGAAGGAAGGAAGGAAGGAAGGAAGGAAGGAAGGAAGGAAGGAAGGAAGGAAGGAAGGAAGGAAGGAAGGAAGGAAGGAAGGAAGGAAGGAAGGAAGGAAGGAAGGAAGGAAGGAAGGAAGGAAGGAAGGAAGGAAGGAAGGAAGGAAGGAAGGAAGGAAGGAAGGAAGGAAGGAAGGAAGGAAGGAAGGAAGGAAGGAAGGAAGGAAGGAAGGAAGGAAGGAAGGAAGGAAGGAAGGAAGGAAGGAAGGAAGGAAGAGGGGAACAAAAATACAAAATCAATTTTTCTAGGGCTTACTGCTCTCTTCCAAATAGTACATTGCTGTTTAAATTAGGAGATGCAAAAGGAAATTGTGTCTAGGTAGTTAAAAGTACTTAAAAAATCCTATACACTACAGTTACAACTGAACAAAGGTAACAGTTTGATATGACTTGTCTATGTATACATAAGATTAATTCAAAATTGGTTGATATGAAAACATTATATGAAAGATTATTACATTAAATGTTTCTTTCTGTTTTTCTTATATATTGACTGATGTACAGGATGGGTTTGCTAGTAATGATTACAAACAGTAGAGATTAGATAACCAAACAGTTCCTGTTCAGGATTGGTCATTGTTACACGCAGATTTTATTTCTTTTATTATTTCTTCTGGAATCTTTTAACAAGTGAAACTTTGTTTTAGAGAACATAAAGCATTATGTTAGCTATCTTACAATAAAATTTTCTGGCTTTTTCACGTTTCTACTTGTCCTCCAGAAATACATACTTGGTCACTATTACCTCGGTAAGTTTCATAGAATTTTGTAATATCGAGGTATGCTTTAAGTTTTTTCAAGGAAATGACAAGAGCTACTTTAAACTGTTTACTCTGAGCCATCTGCTTATTCCTTATCGTACCTTCTGGCCTTCAGACTTAGGTACCACCTTTTCAAGATAAGCAGCTGCTTTCTTACTGAAAGTCTATCCTAAAGCTGTTCAACATTTATTAACAGATTTCATTAGTTTTTCAAGGCCTTTGGCTGAATTAATGTGTTAACAAAGTACTTCGAAAACATTATTCCAAGAATCTCTGTTCTTACACCATATCATCTCACACGACCATAAAAATATCACCCCTAATGGAACTAGAGTTTCTTTTATCTTCTATCATCTGCATGAAAGCAACTTTTCACAGGATCTGGTAGACTAAAAGAACATCTAGATAATCTCTGCTTGACCTCTTATCAGATATCAGTTTCAGTGAGATCCCAGAACATCAAGCCCAGTTATGTTAGTCAGGTTGAAGTGCTGCAATCCTCACTTATGCCTGAAACCCCGTTGCCCACCTCCTAATCCCTTTTCAATGTTGAAATTGCTTTTTTTTTTTTTTTTTTCTTTGCCACTTGTCCTGTATCTCTATCTTTTACTATTTATATTAGAAGCATATACATGCCTAACTTCCTCTTCTATTCCACTTCCTTGGTAAATTCATCTTTCTCATTCAGGAAGAAAGTTTGACCCAAGCTCTCGAACCCTAATTAGTTTCAAATGACAAAAAGTGTCAAAAGATTCCTTAGGGATTCTTCAGAATTAGAGAATTAGAAATCCTCAATTTCTTTAGGATAAGGCTTAAACACTTGTGATTACACTGATGATGGTGAATCCATCAGTGAACTTGTTCTCTTGCACACTGCTGGTTTTGGAAGTTTTGGGGACTCTTTTGGCAAGGCTTAGCAGTGTAAAAAAGCAAATTCTAACACACAACTCTGTCAACCTCTAACTAGCAACTAAGCATTTTATAGAAATTGTGTCCCACTGCTCTAAATTGCCTGGAAGCATGAATACCTATGCACAGGGTCTGGATTTTGATAGCAAGGACACGATCATGCATTGTCAGTACCAAAATCCTGATTTGGATGGATGCTGAGTATCTTTGGAAATCTAGCCACTTCACTCAAACAATTTAAATTACAGTAATTTTATTTTAAGGTGATCTGCCAAAAGAAATCTGTAGTAGTCTAAATTCTTCTCATTCTATTTAAAATAAATTAAAAAACCAACACCATTAATATGACATGGGTGTTGTTCAAGTCATAGAAGATGGCAGTTTATTTTAATCTTTTTTTTTTTTTTTTTTTTTAATCAGTAACATTTATGAGAATTCCTGAAAAGTACCTCAAGTAAAATCTTCATTCCAAGGACTCACTTATCTCATACAGAATGATAGCTCTCTCCCTAGTTGTCATATATTTACCAATTGCTGACCAGTTGTTTTTTTTCCCCTCAAAGGCAAGAAAATCTTTTTTGGAATAACTCCTTGAAGGGCTTTGGATAAGGAGATGTGCAACAAATATTTTGAAGCATATTTTCAAAGTAATATGATTTGAAGTTGAAAATTTATTCTTTCAAGCATTCAGTACAAACACAAAATACTATGGAAGAAAATAGCATCCCTACAACACATTGGACACAATCTTATTGTCATAGTTGGACTTCAAGCAGATTCAGGAAAGTACTGAAATATGTGTTAAATTTTAAATTAATTTAATCAGCTGTAGTGTGCTAACTTCATAGATTTGAATTATGTACTTAAATGTTAGGCATCAGTTTAAACAGATCAGAAATAGAGCCATCTAGAGCCTTGAAAAACTTGGCCCACTGAACACAAAAATTCTTTGTGTTACAAGCCATGTATCTTCACAGGCATAATTAAGCATCAAAAGTTATACTATAAATATTTTGGAATGTATCCTTCAACTAACCAACAACTTTAAAAAACAGACTTTTCAAAACAGATTTTCAAAATATAGAATTTTCTCAATCACTGTTCTGACAATATATCTGCTTTATAGATAGGTTAAAAGAAATGTGTCGTTATCACAGAAAGTAAAATTATAATCACAGTCAAGAGTAAATGATGTTAACTTTCAAACTAATATATGCTGAAAATATTTTTTCATTATTTGTAACTTCTCCATCACTGCTTTG